AGCCATGTGCTAGGAAAATGCCTCAACAACTGTACTATCGCTCTGGTTCCACAGACTATATGTCTAATACCAGGCATACTTAAATGTTCCTATACACACAGAGCTGCTAGAACTGCACTGTCTACTGTCCTTCCGTTGTTCATCGGTTTGCTCAAGTGGGCACCAGTAATGTCTCCATTGAGAGACTTTTGTTACTGTTTTTGGCATATCGAATATGCCATGGGGAGCTTGCCAGACTCTGCCATGCTGGCGGGATACTCTTGGTAGCTTGTCAGGCTCTCCAAGAGGGACAGAGGAATCAAACCCAGGTCGGCTGATTGCAAGGCAACCACCCTATCCACTGTGCTATCGCTGCTAGAACTAATTTCTACAAATCCTGTGTCTTGGAAGAACACACACTTTTGCATTCAGAGGTCACAGGTCTAACATGAGATGGATCGAACCTTGTCTCACTAATTGGTTCCCTGTTTCAAAGCACATCAACCCTGTATTTCATCACCACACCACTTTCTCTGCTGACTCCTTCTGAGGCCCTGTGGTTACACTGAGTCCACTAGAGAAATCTAAAATAATCTTTTTATTTCAAAAATTTATTTGCAAAGTCCCCATTTATTATGTCTCAACTGGGCTTTCCTGAGAAATATAAGATTTGCTCAATTTAAAAAATAAAAAACAAGGGTCTGGAGCGAGAGTACCACATAAAAGATGTCTATTTGCACAAAGCTGCCTCGGGCTTGATCCCTAACACCACATATGGTTCCCAAGCCCCGTGAGGAATGATCCCTGAGCACTGAGCCAGGAGTAAACCCTGAGAACAGTTGGGTGTGACCCAAAAGCCAAAAAGTAAATAAAGAGAAAAAGCATTGTAATCTGCCATGTTAACTGGCTAAAGAGCAAAATTACATTATAATCATTTCAATCAAAAGAGGAAAAGCATTTAACAAAAGTTAACACCATTCATGTTAAGAAGATTTAGAAAAATAGAAATAAACGGGAACTTCCTCAAATTTCACCTAACACCTGTCAAGAAAACCTCCAATAACCAATATGCATTATACACCTGACAAATAACGGCTGAATGTTGCCAATACTCTAAGGGCGGTTTCCTGCTGTGACACTTGTCAGGACATGGGCTTGAAATTCATCGGGACTAAAAACAGAATCAAGATCACTGGGGACTGGGGCCGGCAGTGACCTGGGGTTAGCTGCCTACAAGACAGATGCCTGAACCCTGCTACTAGTCCTCCAGGCCCCTCAAGACAGGGGGTCTCAGAGCAGAGGTTCAGAAGAGGCAGAACAAAGAATGAGTATTTAATAAGTCTAGGGCTTATCTATTATTATTTATGAGTAAAGAAATCTGGAGAATGAAAAAACTTAAGAATTGTGCTTTATAATTAGTGCAAACTATAAATTTAGACAATATTACTATATTAGTATGGAGATATGCTACTGAACTGAACACCAAAAAAATGGTTCAAATGATATCTACTAAAGTTTGTGTATTTAGCCATAATAATAAAAAAAGATAAAATGCCTTAAAGAGATTTTTTGAAAGGAAGAACAGAGAACAAATACACACACACACACACACACACACACACGCGCGCGCGCACACACACACACACACACACACAAACAAACACACACAATCACGTAAAGCAAAATGCTCCTCAGGTGCCACTTCGAGGCAAAAAAGCAAATCAGAGCATAAACCGCTACCTTTCAAGGCTGGAAAAACACACAAGCAACAGAGGAATCTATCCTGGCTGCTTCTAGAATAAACAAAAACCTTGGCTTCGAAAACGTTCTGACCTTAGCTTAGTAATGAGCAATTTCAACTCCTCACTCAGACCAGGAGAGTCACTCTTGCTTGACTCACACCAAATTCCATGAATTTCAGAGACTTCGTGTCTACAAATGAGAAATCCCTTTGTCCGACGCAGTGCCACTGCCCCGGAACCTTCATTTCTTGCTGTTATTTGGAGACATGGCAGAGAAGGAGGCAGAAAGGTGGAAAGTGCGAGCTTGCCACGGGAGTGGTGGGGGCCACACAGCCCTGAGCAAACCCAGGAACCTGATGAAGGGTACCCATGCCTTCCCCTCGGGGGCCACCTGCACAGGCTGCCAAGCACAGGGTGAGAGCGGGCAGCCCTAAAGACTGACATGCATCCGTGCAAAGCAGTCAAGACATTGGTGAAATCTCTCGAAGAACCAAATTTAGGAGTTTGGGGAGTTTCCTGCTTGTTTTCTCATCTGAAAGCTCTTTGTTCCATTTCCAGAAAGCAAATAGTAAGAGAAGCAGCTGACGGGCGTGCAGCATGAAGCTCTAAGCTCCAGTCACACCCGGCGTGAAAGAGCAGAAACCAGAACACCGGATCTGATCAAGAAGAAACCTCGAGAAAAACCAGAATTATTTTATAAACCTAAGAAGTCTGTCTTCCTTTGTGTTGTGGCTGAAAAGAACTGGATCTTATTTTCTAGGCTATCAATTATTCTCATTTTAAATTCAGAAAACATTGACTTGGTTTAAAAATTTTCTAAGTTTTTATCAAGGCATCAGTTTACAATGATACTAGAGTTATTTTATGTTTGCAGAGCACCATCCCTTCCATCCACTATCCACATTCACCTCACAGCCCTACCCACTCCGAGGCCCATCGATCTTGTCTCAGGATCTGATTCCACTGGGAATTGACTAATCTCTTTAGAGTACTTGCCTTCATAATGGTCTTTTCTTTGGTAATTTTTTTCCTTCTGTATTCTTTGTACTTCTCCCTCACATTTTTCAGGACTTTCTTTCTTACCAGTTATTCCCCCAGAATTAGCAACTGAAATAATTCCTCTACAGGCACCAAGTCTTTTAACCATTTTAGATGTTATAGGTTTCTTACAACATTTCTCTGGGACATTCGTGGCCCACATGAAATTACGTGATGAAGCGACCAGGAAAAAATGAAATTTCAATTTGTTTTTACCCAAAAACATTCTATAACTAATATAGATATATTAGGTATATATAGATAGCACAGCGGGTAGGGCGTTCGCCTTACAAGCGGCCAACATGGCTGACCTGAGTTCGATTCCTCCGCCCCTCTCGGAGAGCCCGGCAAGCTACCGAGAGTATTCGATATGCCAGACACAGTAACAACAAAGTCTCCAATGGAGACGTTACTGGGCCCGCTCGAGCAAATCGACGATCAATGGGAGGGCCTTTACCTTACCTTTACATATATGTAGATATATTAGGTATATATATTAATAATAGGTATATTAGCATCCTTTTTTTTTGGCCACAGCTGATGATGTTCAGGTGGTGCTTGGGAGACCTTATGGGATGCCGGGGATCGAATCTGAGTCAGCTACATGCAAGGCAAGTGTCCTACTTGCTGTACTATCATCACTTGGTGCCTTAGTTCCTGATAAGTTGATGGCACTTCCTGAAAATTTAAGAGGAATCCAGAAATAGGTGAAGTCCTGGGGCAAGCAGTGTGCACAGTGGGCAGCGCTATACACTCTGGGCAAGCACCTGGCCAGGATTCAATTTCTGGCACCCCGAGTATCATCACTGAGCAATGCTCTCATGGCCCCCAAAACAAAAGCAGGAGGCTAGGGAAGCCCCGCACCATGGGCCCTAAGCAACATCGCAAACTCTAGATCTTATGAATCCCAATCTGACTGTCCAGAAATTGTTGCTGAGGTCACTGGGGCCCCTGAACACCACTTGGGAGGTGGTAACCTCCCTCAAAAGGGGCGGGGGGGAGAGAGAGAGAGAGAGAGAAACTAATATGAGGAAATATATAAACCAGAGCAAGGACCTTGCGGACTCCTCCTAAAGGCAGAGGGAAAGACTGTCACTGGGAACAACAGCTTACAAGAGAGAGAGAGAGGTATCTAGCCTTTCCAGCTTAAATCTCTCCTCGTCTGAGGCAGGGGCTAACAACTAGTGAATGAATGAGTATGGAAATGAGTGAATGAATGAGTGATTCTAAGTACTCTTCTAAATAATATTTATAAAATCAGTCAGTGGCAGGCCCAGGACTTCAACCCAGCTCTCTTCCTTCGTCTCTGGTAAGCCATAAGCTGCAGCTACATCAGCAGCTGAGTCGGCTGTCAGCAGAACAGCAATGTCACTGAAATCACTCACTGACCTTAGTTGTATTTTTTTTGCTCATTGTGCTTTTAGACATGCAAACAAAAGAAAAGAATGAAAAGTGCCAAGTGGGATGACATAAGAAAATTGCACTGTAGCCAGATCACACATAGAAAATGACAGGAAAAAGGTAGGCAGAGGAGGCTCTGTGATTTTCCTCTCTCTCTCTCTCTCACCTGATCCGAGAGATATAAAAGGTACGAAAGCCAGAATGCATTAGCTGTCAAATCAATAATATTCTACGTGCGTGCGGCACAGACTTTTCTAACTATGCAGCCCATTTTTATCACCACTGGCTTGCTAGCGTCCACCACCAAGGGAAGAAACTGAGAATGAGAATGATGGATTGGGGCTGGAGTGATAGTACAGGAGGTAGGGCACTTGCCTTGCACACGGCTGACCTCAATTTGATCCCTGGCATCACATATGGTCCCCTGAGCCCACCAGGGATGATCCCTGAGCACAGAGCCAGGATAAGCCCTAAGCAACAGGGACCAGGAAAGAGAGAGAGGAAAAGAAAAAAAGGAAAAAAGGAAGGAAGGAAGGAAGGAAGGAAGGAAGGAAGGAAGGAAGGGAAGGAGGGACGGAGAGAGGGAGGGAGAAAGGAAGAAAGGGAGGGAGGGAGGGCGGGAGGGAGGGAGGGAGGGAAGAAGGGAGAATAGGAGGGAGGGAGGGAGGGAGGGAGGGAGGGAGGAAGGAAGGAAGGAAGGAAGGAAGGAAAGGAGGGAGGGAGAGAGGGAGGAAGGAAAGAAGGAAGAATAGGAGGGCAGGAGGGAGGGAGGGAGGGAGGGCGGGAGGGAGGGAGGGAGGGAGGGAATGAGGGATGAGATGACGGAGATGATATACTTACTCTTCCAGGAAGTGCTGCTGGGGTCCTATGATGGAGCCAGGCCGGCATATTCTGATCCAAGCAATTATTTCAGAGTGTGTGAACCTGTAATGCTTCATGACATAACAGGCTATCAACGTTCCTGTTCTTCCAAGACCGGCTATAAAATAGGGAAACAGAACAAGAAATACAAAATAAAGCAAATGCACCCACAAAACACTGAACTCAATCGGCTCCTTTCCCCCTCCCCCCACCACACCCCTGCCGACAGCAATGGTCTCAAGTATGATGCAGGATTCTTAAACCCAGGTTTTGTGATGCGTTTTACTGGAGGGGGCGTTAAAAGACCACTCCAACTCCAGAAATCTGTTTAATAGTTTATGTGGTTCAAGGAAACTAACATGAGGAAATATATAAACCAGAGCAAGGACCTTGCGGACTCCTCCTAAAGGCAGAGGGAAAGAATGTCACTCGGAACAACAGTTTACAACGTATCTATCCACTCCTGAGGTCTCAGCCCTGGTCTCCGACCCCAGAACCAGACTGAGATAAATCTACAATTAGTGTGCGTGGCTCAAATCAGTAGTGCTATTGTGGGTGTTTTCTAAACCTATTTTAATGGGGAAGTTTTTGAAAAAAAATAATTTAGAATTATTCAATTATTTTAAAAGAGGGAACCACAGAATCAGAGTTAGAAAAATAACATGAGGGGCTGGAGCGATAACACAGCAGGTAGGGTGTTTGCCTTGCACGCTGCCAACCCGAGTTTGATTTCCAGCATCCCATATGGTCCACCGAGCACCTCAAAGAGTAATACCTGAGTGCAGAGCCAGGAGTAACTCCTGAGCATCGCCAGGTGTGACCCAAAAAGCAAACTAACTAACTAAATAAATAATAATAACATGAATAAAGATCATTAGGTCCCAGGGACCCAGAATTGCTTCAATGCTTTTTCTAGCGGGTAGTCGGTCTAACCTTGGCGTAAGTCCTTGGGAGGCCGGGAAAGTCCACTACCTACTGAATCAACCCACAGAGGTGGATGCAGCACCTACTGGTCAGGCGCTGGGACACAGTGACAAATCAAACAGACGCACTCCTGCCCTGGGAGCCGAGCGAACAGTGGCACTTACGTCTCATTTGCTCTGGCTTCTTCTGCATTTACAGTATGTGTCTAGACACCCATATGTGTATATGAATGCATATGCCTTTTGTGTATATGCCTCAAAATCAAATCCAGGGTCAAAAGGATGTAAACCATGTGCTTTCTCACTGAGCTACAGACTCGGTTCAGGTAAGGCATAATCTCTCTAGGATGGACCCAACCTCTGCTATGTAAGAAAAAGCATTACAGTTAGAATGATTTGCAGGGGCCCAGATAGATCAAGGGCTAAGCGCATGTGGCCAGTCCTGGTTCAATGTCATACTCTGTACATGGTCCCCCAAGTACCGCCCGGAGTGACCCCTGAGCACAGAGCCAAGAGTAAAGCAACAGGGTGTGGTCCCAAAGTCCTTCCCCACTGAAAAGAAATGATCTCAGGGGTCCCAGGGAGAGGGTCTTGGCAAAGAATATGCTTTGCCCACATGAGGCCATGAGTTCCTGTCTGACACTGCCACATGTGTGCTGAGCTCAACCCAACAGCCATGTTGGCCAGGATCTCTGGCGCTGCAGCAGTTCCTGGGAGCCCGGCAGCCACATGTGCACAAGCACCACCACCAAAGGCTGCGGCCACACACAGCGCCACAACTACAGAGCTTTACAGCATCACAACGCCACAGCTACAGAGCTCTGCAACACTGCAGCCAGGGTGCCCCCCTGGGAACACATGTGCCAGCACCAGTTAAGGAAGTGCAGCCCCTGAGAGAGACCCAGCCACGTGCCGACCCCACAACCTGAAGTGCCAGTCTGAGCAAGTGCCGACCAGTCCACAGAAGCAAGAGGGCTAAACGTGTGCAATCTCCAAAACACCAGCACCAGCTGTGTAGGAACTCCAGTCGCAGCAACAACAGCAAAAAAAAAAAAAAAAAAAAAATGGGAGGAAGAAGAAACTGTTCTTGTTTGGGGCCACACCCAGCACTGCTCTGGGATACTGGCAACTCTGTGCTCAGACTTGACAGTGCTCATGACAGTGGGACTGTGTGATGCCGAGGCTGAAACCCCAGCCTCCCAAGTGCAAATCATGTACTTGATCTGTTGAGCTCTTTTCAAAGTGAAATTATTTTTTAATTACTTTCAACGTATTAATTACTATTGGAATTTCTCCAAGTGCTTTTTCCCCATAAATTGTTAAATATTTTTGCCCTCTCTTCAGAGAAACAAAAATAACTGGACCAGGGGCTAGAGCAATAGCACAGTGGGTAGGGTGTTTGCCTTGCACGCAGACGACCTAGGTTCATTCCCAGCATCCCATATGGTCCCCGAGCACTGCCAGGAGTAATTCCTGAGTGCATGAACCAGCAGTAACTCCTGTGCATAGCCGGGTGTGACCCAAAAAGCAAAAATAAATAAATAAATAACTGGACTGGGCCGGAGCAATATTACAGCAGGTAGGGCACTTGCCTTGCATGTGGCCAACCCGGGTTCAATCCCCGGCATGCCATATGGTGCCCCGAACACTGCCAGGAGTAACCCTTGAGCGTTGCTGGGTGTGACCGAAAAAGAAAAAAATAAATAAATAACTGGACTTTACATTTTAGTCTACCACATACATATAAATCTTATGTAAGCACATACATGGACTTTCTTTTTCCCAAAACAATGCTCAAAACTTTAATCACACCCTAGGTCCTCAAATATAGTGACTGATGTTAATATAGTAGAACAACCGAGACCCAAAGATATCAACTCAGATTAGTATAACAAGTGAGTCTGAAATCCATCCCTAAAATCCTGCAGGGGTGCATATTCTCACCCCAGAGTTCCTTCCGTTCTTGCTCATCCATTCAGTCACACATCCTACAAGCACTGACTAAGACCAGCTATGTAGGTGGCTCTGGCTTAGATGCAGAGGTTAGGAACATAAAGACCCAAGATGCTGCCCTCCTACAGCGTGTAGAGCTAAACCAATTATACTTATTCACACACAGTTTCCAAGAATTTCCACACCTGGCTTCCTGAAATTAAATCAGGTACCATATGTTTTTATTTGCTGAGTACTTCTTCTGAGCAAAACATTGCGCCAAGGTATTTCCTACAACGTAAAAACCTGTTGTTATGATGCATGTTTTTTCTCCAAAAGAGACTGGTGCTGTCTTTGGCTTTAAACATCGGATTCATCTAATCAAGGGTTTATTTGTGAACTCATTGGCTATAACAGGCTTGTGTCAGGGAGAAAGAGTCAAGTAAGGAAACCTATTTTTTCTACTACTATAGATCAAGCTAGTCGTGGACACAAAAAATATTAACCAAGAAGTAAAAACAAAGAAAGACATGATGTATGCTGAAACAAGTGTCTCAGAGAAAAAAAGAGGGACTGTGTAAACGAGTGCCTTCAAGAACCACGTTAGTGGGGCTGGAGCGATAGCACAGCAGGTAGGGCGTTTGCCTTACACACAACTGACCCGTATTTGATTCCCAGCATCCCATATGGTTCTCCAAGCACCACCAGGAGTAATTCCTGAGTGCAGAGCCAGGAGGAACCCCTCTGCATCGCTGGGTGTGATCCAAAAAGAAAAAAAAAATCACATTAGCAACAACAAGGATTCTAGCAGACCTCAGAGCAAAAGGAGATCATAAAGTTTTCTGGAAAGGGCCAGCGGGTGTGTAGCATGGAAAATAATTCTGATAACGGAGCCAGAGTGATAGTGCAGCACGCATATTTGTCTTACATGCAGTCAACCTGGGTTTCATTCCCAGCATCCTATATGGTCTCCCGAGCCCACCAGGGGTGATCCCAGAGCACAGAGCCAGGAGTAAGCCCTAAACAGAGCCCCCAAACACCAAAAATGAAAAAGAAAGAAAGAAAATAAGTCCGATGAGGAAGTCCAGGTAGAAGAGGCTCATAGTCTCTGAGTTGCCACCAGCTACCACGTGTGGGCTCCAGAGACCCAGAACACAGAAAGGCTGGAGTGGCCGAGTCAGACAGGCTGCGCTCAGGGTAGCGGAGTGCGGGTTCGTGGAGGTCTGCACTAGCCCCTTGTGGATGGAGACGAGGGTCTCATCAACCAAACTCAACTCGCTTCAAAAGCAGGATAAAATCTATGCAATTCTCCCTACAGCTCGAATACAACCGCTGTCATATAAAAACCTGCCACTGCTCTGGGTAGTAGAACCAAGAATGCTGCGACAGGAGGGAAGGGGTGGGAACAAGGAGCCCACCAGGAACAACATAAGGACACTGGTCAAAGGTCCTGGACAGTCCAGGGATGCAAAAGTCCCAGGTGGAAAACTGTACATTAAAACCTTCAGAGCCATCCCTGACGTGCCAAAACTATTTTTTTCAATGAGTTAATGAAGAGGTGGGTTCAGGAGATCTCTAGAGAGAACTCTGGGCTACTGGTGAAGAGGTGTCAACACTGGTGGTAGGTTTGGAATAGGAACACTGAATGCCTGAAACTCGATTATCAACAGCTTTGTAAATCACAATAACTACATTGCTTTAAATGTTTTATTTTTTTTTTAAGCTGCATCTTTCTCTAAGCAAAGCAAAGGGCGAAATGCAACTGCCGCCTTAGCTTGCTTTGGTGAAGATACGAACAGAGCCAGGGAGCAGGAGGAAGAGCAGACTGCTGAGGAGAGCAAGGCAGCTGGAAGGGGCTGGGGGAGACGAGACCCGAAAAGAGCTGAATGAGCTCAGTAGAAAGCCATTTTGATGGGGTTGCGAATGATTCACACTTCAGACCAGGAAAAGTGGTCCACGAAAAACATTCGTTACGAAAAGAAATGGAGGGCCAGGGGCGTAGCTCAGGAGCAGGGAACTTGCCCTTCCTGCATTATATTCTGGGCTCAATCTCGAAAATAAAAAACACCACAAAATAAAAGCACCATGAAAATAAAAAACAAAGAAATGGGGGACATTTGGACTCTTGATATGCTTAAGAATATTCCTCTTCAAAGGAGGGGTGAAAATGTCAAATACGAAAGAGAAAACAAGTCTCACAATGGAGATGTTACTGGTGCCCACTTGAGCAAACTGATGCACAACAGGAGGACAGTCCTACTATGCTACAAAAGAGAAAGTTCTTTCACCTCCAAAGTACTTAGAAATACACAGTATTTCGGCAAATATAAGATACCACCATGTCTAGTGGTATCTTAATAATGGGGTGAACATGCCATTATTTAAGATCTGTGAAGGGAAAATTAAGAATGACATGCTATTTATTCTAAGATATATTCATGCATCATATGGTGGAAGAGACAGTTCTTGAAACCTGAGTTTCTCAATCTTTTTTTCATTATTGCTCCCAGAGCCTTGAAACTTTTCCCCTAATTGTCTCCTATAACACTTCATAGCCCCAGATACAGGGAAATCTGCTGGCATGGTATATATAAACCCATGCTTTACACAGAAAAGAATGTTTTTCACCTCCTTCCTTCCAAAAAACACATTTTCCTCCTTGTGGGATATTTTCCCAGGGCTAAAAATACAAATAGAGGCCAGAAAGACAACATAGGGAATAGGTTAGAGCCTAATTTGACTGCACCCCAATAGGGTTTCCCATCACTGCCGAGAATAACCCCTGGGCACAGAGCCAGGAAAAGCCCATGAGCCAACAGGCAAGACCCCAAAATGCAAATAAAATATGATCAAGTTCATGTTTATTGCTGCCTTTAGCTCTTCCTTTTCCGTGAACCCTTGCTTTTCGAAAATCGTATTTACACTGATTTGAGAGAGAGAGAGAGGTAGAGGGAGGGGGAGAGAGAGAGAGAGAGAGAGAGAGAGAGAGAGAGAGAGAGAGAGAGAGAGAGAGAACTCATAGACTTCATCTGAAATAACTTTGCCCCATATCAAACATGAACATTATTTTAAGAGTGACATTTAGTCCCGGGTCTCAGCAAGGTTCTTCCTCTAATGCGTTCACAGTAATTCATGCTGCTCTCCTCCTCCGAGAGAAGATAGTTCCTGTCCCGAGAGCACTGTGAACTCTGGGGAAGTCTAGAAAGGTAACTGTGTTGTTCAAACACAAGCAGACATCTCGGGATAGCCCAGCTGGTTCCTCAGTTCCTCCTGAAGGTCCCTGAGCAAAGAGACCAAACCCCACTCACAGCTGCTTGGTCTCCTGTGACGGGGCCGGCCACTTCCCCCTGCCACCCCCATTACACACACTCACAACCCAAAAGTGTGTGGCATAGAAATTTTTCGAATTGCTATAGTTGCTTCCCCTTTTAAAAGGAGTCTATAATTTAGATCCATAAAAAGAACCTACTTAGCACTCAATAGTTAGAAGCTCTTAGCACAATTCAACAGAATAGGAACACTTCGCTAAATCTCTATAAAAACTTTAACCATTTTTTTTAAAGCATTCATAATTAAGAGGCTCCCTGGGCACAGCAAGGAAGACACAGAGAAATGGTCTATTTATACCTCGTCAAACACTGACAACCATACTGTTTCTGGTTTTCTGAAATTCCTGCAGCACAGTCACAGACCGAAACATAACAATTGCCCTCTTCCATGTCTCTCATCAGCCTGAAGGTGAGCTGCAGCTACTGAATCCTTTTAAGATTACACACATTCCGAGTAAATTACTTTGTAGTTTGTCTCCATATATAGTGCTGTAGATTGAAGCCTGACTATTCATTCTCCTCTCAGGCGCTCCGAAGTACATTTGACATAGGGTAAGATTCTTCCCTCCTCCTTGTAGTTCAATTAAAATGCTCAGTTCAGTGCTGCTTCAATTCCCGGAAAATTAAGTTGACTTAATTAGGGGAGATGTCAAAATAATTAACAGGCCTATAGTAGATAAGTATGCTATTAAAAGCAGCACAGCTGTAATTAATTCAAAGGTGTAATCCTTATAAAAGAATCCTACATGTGTATACTAATGGAAGCAAATGAAATAACACTCTCAAAAAATGTCACCACATGTAAATGTGACCTTCCTATACAAGAACTGAACTCAATGCTAAGGGTTTCTATTTTAAATGAAAATAAAAAAATATTTTATATTGTACATATATGTATATATTTTATATGTAATATATACATATTTAAATGTCAACATTTGTAAAGTGTGTAATAAAGAGAATATCTGAAACAAGAACATTTAACATTATGGAGTTTTATTTTCCCAGCGTTTGCAGGTGAGAAATGTGGAGTTTTAATGAAAACTTCCTTGCAATTTGCCTGTGCACGACCGACACACGCACAAACGACATAGCTTGGCAATGACAACATGGACTGACTAGAAAATCAGGCAAAATCAACCGATTTTTAGGGCACACAGAAATGAACTTGGCAAAGCAGCAGATGAAGATACCCGGCGAAGCAGCCGCCTCCGGCTTTGCAGCCCTCACGCTCCACTTAGAACTGAAATTACGGAAATTTCCAGTTTTTGCTTGGGCCTGGAAACACTTGATGAGAAGGGGATGGAAAGGCAGAGAGGGGGGACAAGGGGGTCACAGCCGGGGCAAATGAGCTCTCCGACAACCCATCTGAGCCCTGCTGGGAGCTGAGAGCTGCAAACTAGAGTGATGGGCCACGGTGCTCGGCCCATCCCGGTCCTTCCCGCTGCGAGGCTGCAGAGGCTGCGGGACAGGGCACAGGGGGTTCCCCTGCGGGGGACCTGCCCAGGGGCGCCCCGCTCCCCGCAGCCTGCCCTCGCGGCTCACATTTGCAGCCAGCCAAGTCAGTCCACCTCCGCAGATCTTAAACATAGAAACAAGGGCCTGCAAAATGACATTCTGATTTCTGTCTACCCCAAGCTGTGCTCGCCTGACTCCGGCTGGCTGCAGCAGCACTAGGCGCCGGTAAGGAACCAGCCTACAAGCCGTTAGCATAAAGCAGCTGCGCGCGGGTTCAAACCCGCGGGAACAGCACCACCCAGAGGCCAAGCGGGAAAAGACACGTGTGAGCAAGCGGCCACGGTGGGTCACTGCATCACTTACCCACGTGAAATAGCTCCCACCCTAATGGAAACTCGAAAACGGAACATGGCACGAGGCGTTGGACAAGCTTTTGAGCAGTTCACAGAATCCTGCCCACACGGTGCAAAAGGCAGGTCTGTGCAACCGCTGAGACAGGGAAAGGGGTCGCTGTCTCCGAACAATTCAGATATAAATGGGCACCTGTGTTTCTCTGCTAGCGTCAGATCTAACTGGGCACCTGTGCTTCTCCTTGCTAGACCGGCAACCCGAGGCCCCCTGTGATCTGAAGGTGCCTGCCTGCTCCCATGTGCTCACCCTGCAGGAGTTAGGGCCAGATGTTTCTGCTTATGGGACCCAGCTGCACATCTGCAGCAAGAAAGCTCCCCTGGCCAGCCCCAGCCAGGAGGAAGGGAGGAGCATTGCTGCAAAAGATGGGGGGGTGAGGGGGTTGCTGGTGCCATGAGATTTACTTGGGCTCCACAAAGGTTTTTTTTATTTTCATTTTGTGTTTGTTTTTCATTAAACCCCCATACACAGTTACAAAATTGTTCCTGATTGGGTTTCAGTCATACAATGTCCTATCACCTGTACCTTCACCAGTGCACATTTCCCACCACCAATGTCCCCAATTTCCCTCCCCACACCCCCACTCTGCCTTCTGCCTCTACAAAAACAGGTACCTCTCTCTGTGTCTCTCTATCTCTGTGTCTCTCTCTCCTTCCCTCTGTCTCTGTCTCTCTGTCTCTCCTCCTTTTTTAGGCATTAGGGTTTGCAGTTCAGGTACTGAAAGGTCATCGTGCATATTTCCTTACCTACCCCCCAGGGGCTGGAGCGATAGCACAGCAGTAGGGCGTTTGCCTTGCGCGCAGCCGGCCCGGCCTAGCCGGGTTCGATTCCTCTGTCCCTCTAGGAGAGCCCAGCAAGCTACTGAGAGTATCTCGCCTGCATAGCAAAGTCTGGCAAGCTAACCATGACATATCTGATATGCCAAACACAGTAACAACAAGTCTCACAAAAGAGACGTTACTGGGCCAACTAGAGCAAATCGATGAACAACAGGAGGATAGTGGAGAGTGGACCCCCCCAGCACTCAGTTCTTGTCCAGAGTGACCATTTCCACTATCACTGTCTTGAGGTCCCTTCTCTGTCCTAATTGCCCTCTCTCGCCCATCCTGTGCCCAGCTCTGGGCGGGTCCCCCTGGCCCCAGTTTCTCCTGTGCCCTGTCCCAGCACTGTCCCCTGTCCCTGCGTGCCCCCGTCCCTGCGCTGTCCCCTGTTTCCGCGCTGTCCCCCGACTCCGTGCTGTCCCCTGTCCCCGCAATGTCCACCGTTCCCACGCTGTCTCCTGCACTGTTCCCAGTCCCTGTGCTGTCCCCTGTCCCCACAATGTCCACCGTTCCCGCGCTGTCCCTGCGCTGTCCCCAGTCCCTGTGTGTCCCCCATCCCAGCGTGTCCCTTCTCCGCGCTGTCCCCTATGCCCACGCTGACCCCTGTCCCTGAACTGTCCCCGCGCTGTCCCTGTCCCCGCGCTGTCTGGCCCCGCACGCACCTTTGCAGTGCACGGCCACGGCGCCGTCCGTGTTCTCACAGATGTTGAGGAAGCGGCGCACGATGTTGTCGCTGGGGGTGCTGCCGTCCAGGAAGAAGAGGTCGTAGTGCTCGAAGCCCGCGTCCGTGAAGCGCTTGGCCTCATAGATCTTCTTGTTCAGCCGCACCACGGCCGTCACATTGTGCTTCTTGAAGTACGGGAAGTAGGCTTCGGGCGCGTGCAGCGGGTAACCTGGGGAGGGGGCCACGGGCAGCTCAGCCGGGACCCAGGCCAGAGACCACCCAGAGACCCTCAGAGACGGCCAGAGACCCCCCAACCAGCCCAAAGACCACTCAGAGACCCTCCTCCCCCCAGCCCATAGACCACCCCGGGCCCAGAGACTTCCCTGAGCCCAGAGACCAGCCCCGACCCAGAGACCACCCAGAGACCATGGGCTCCCACCGAGTCCAGAGACCACCCTGCATGCAGAGAACTCCCAGAGACCACCTGCCCCCAGCCCAGAGACCACCCCAGGCTCAGAGGACCCCCCCCAGCGCATAGACCTTCAGGAACCCAGAGACCACCCCAGGCCCAGAGACCCCAGGAGCCTAGATACTGTCCGGGGCCGTGATCCACCCAGAGACACACCCCCATGAGCCTAGAAACCACTCAGAAGTCCAGAGACGCCCTGAGCCCAGAGACCACGAACCCAGAGATCCCTCCACCTCTACAGACCACCCAGAGACTGCCCCAGGCCCAGAGACATGTCCTCTTCCTCTTCCTCCTGCCCCCCCAAGATCACCCAGAGACCCCCTCTGCAGCCCTGAGACCACCCTGGGCCCAGAGACCCCAAGAGCCTAGATAGACACTTCCCTGAGCCCAGGGTCCACCCAGAGACAGCCCTGGGCCCAGAGACACCCCCCACAAGCCTAGAGACCACCCAGAAGTCCAGAGCCCCCCAGGAGCCCTGAGGCCACCCCAGCCAGAGCTGGGCATGCAGAGCCCAGGGGGCTCCCTTTCCTCGGAGCAGCCCCCAAATCACCCAGATCTACCTGGGATTGCACAGTTGGTGAATACAGACACAACCTGGCCTTGGCCATTCAAGGGACACTGTGGGGGGGGGGGGGGGGGGGGAGGGGGGAGAGAGGCTGCAGCCACTGCAGTCTGGCCCAGCAGCCCCCGAGCCAGGGCTCAATTCTCAGCAGAAACGCCACCATCCCGTGTCCACAAGAGCGTGGTCCTCTCCCTGTGGCTGTACAAATGGGGCCTTCAGCTGTGCCCAGGCCACAGCCCATCCTCTGGGCCCTGATCCACTGGCTGTGGGGATCTCACCCGTCCTCCTGAGGGGTCTCCAGGAAGGAGGCACCAATGCCCGCAGGGCTGCCAGGGCTCTGGCTTCCCTCCCTTTCCTTCCTGCGGGGCCTCAAACCCGCACCAGGTGGCCCACCTCGGGGCTCACTGCTGGGCCTCCTACACAAATGCGGGGTGGGGAGGCACTCCCTTCAGAGTCCCCGTATTCTCCTTTGTCCTCTCACAGGATAGTTTTGGCTTTCATAATATTCTGATTTTTTCAATGTTGCCCTTTCACTTTTTTTTTTCTTTTTTTGGGTTACTCTAGTGACCCCAGTGATGCTAAGGGGTCACTCCTTGCTCTACACTCAGAAATTACTCCTGGCGGTGCCCGGGGGACCATATGGGATGCTGGGAATCAAACCTGGGTCGGTCACATGCAAGGCAAAGGCCCTACCCACTTTGCTACTGCTCCAGTCCCTTACTTTTTAATCTTCCTTTTTTTTTTTTTGGCTTTAGAAAACAGTACTTTTTAAATCAACATGCGCAAAGTAGGGAACTGAAAAACATAAGAAGCGAGAAACAGAATCATTCACAATTACAAGCTGTTTTGGTTCTAGGTCCTAGGTCTGCCTCAGCGTTATGACTGAGACCCACTGAGTATGAATGCTCCTTTCCACACTGCGAATTGTCGGCCATCTCAAAGTCCCAAAGTCATGCAGAACCAGAAATACACTACACCAATGTAATCCGGAATTAAGAAGCAGAGTCCCACCTTTCTGGGCAACAGTGTTCTTAAAAGACAAAATGGTAACCAGACTCTAGATAAAGATGTTGGCACAATTACAATCAAAATAATGATTCCCTAAATTTCAATTAAAATGAAACCAAAAACTTAGCAAGGAAGTAAAGTTCTAACCAAAGTACTGACAATGTCCTTGTCGTGCGGAGATGCACACACCAATGCACATCACCAAATGTGAACAGAACCTGACTGAACACGCCCCGTCCTCTTCACACACACCCTTTACACTGTACAGCCCCCTTCCTCTGTACCTGTCCCCTTTACTCTACACATGGCCCCACTACTCTGCACACAACCCCTTTACTCTGAACACAGCCCCTTCCTCTGTGCCTGTCCCCTTTACTCTGCACACGGCCCCATTACTCTGCACACAGCCCCTTTACTCTGTACACAGCCCCTTCCTCTAAGCATTCTTCCTCCCCTCCACTGCAAACTGAACAACAAGACCTTCTAATGATCACTCAGATGGCTGAACAATTCTAGGTCCACAGTGTTCTTTGCCTTTTTTAATAACACATTCTTTGTATGCTATCTACTCAGTCTGAAATAGTATGGTCTCCGTTGTCCCCGGACCCTGCCAGCATAACCGTCTCCTGTAACCCCTCCTCATTTTCTAAGACTTCCCCTTGCTGGCTGTGAGCTACCCAAAACCATTCCAATAAATGCCATTTGCTTTAATTTTCCAAAGTGGGTCCTGCAGTTAGTGACCTGCCAGTTAGTGCCCTCACTGGCACATTTGGTCAAGGACACGCATCCATCGGAGGCCCAGCCCAGAACAGGCTCAACAGCATGCCAGCTGACAGAGCTGACACCCTCCTGTGCAGAGAGCAAGGACACTTGCTCAGAGAGCTATTTTCCCACTGTGAGAAATCCAACCTGTCTTTCGAGATGGATTCTCAGCTCAATTTATTTCCCAGCAATAGATTTCCAGGCTAATGGGGAAAAGAATGATGGTCAGTGTGATGAAGTAAGAGCTTCCTACCATGTCAGGATGGGGAAGAGAAAGGACCAGGGAGATACCAATGGATAAGGCATTGGCTTTACCTGCAGCTGACCCTGGTTCAATTCTCGGCACCACAAGTACGGCTTTCTAAGCACCACCAGGAGTGAGCCCAGAACACAGAACCAGGATTAATTCCTGAGCACAGAAAAGAATGACCCCAAAAGTAAAAGAATGGGAGGCCAGAGCGATTGTCCAGCGGATAGGGCATTTGCCTTGCATGCGGCTGACCCGGGTTCTATCCCCAGCATCCCATAGGGTCCCCCTGAGCACTGCCAGGAGTAATTCCTGAGTGCAGAACCAGGAGCAACCCCTAAGCATCACTGGGTGTAAAACAAAAAGCAAAAAAAAAAAAAAAAAAAAGTAAAATGGGAAGGAGAGGGCTCAATAACACCAGGAACCCAGCTGTTGCCCTGCTTCCTGGCATGACTGGCATCTGCCTGCTGACACGCATTCCAGTGGGCTAATACTGGTTCGTGTCTCTCTTCCCCTCCCCCAGCAAGGCTGAAGACCACCGGCCCCACCTCACTTTCCTCACCTAAGAATTTCCATCTGCAATAAAGGGCACTACAGAGATCCCAGCTAAAACAAACATAAAGTTTCTCCTATGCACATCTTTTAAGAAAGGCATGGAATGAGCCTCGATTTGTCCCCAAGCTCCCCCAAAAAGGAAGAATTCAAGACAGAACTGTCCAAGTATGGCAAAGGAACATTGAAACAGTAAGTGATGATAACATGACACTCGGCATTTATGGAGCGCTTAGCACTTGCCGACCACTAAACTACAAGTGCCCCAAATGCTCGGCCTACTGCCCCCACTTCAAAAGAAAACAATTTTGGGGGGGCTGGAGCGATAATACAGTGGGTAGGGAGTTTGCCCTGCACGTGACCAACCGGGATTCAATTAGCAGCATCCTATTTGGTTCCCTGACCACCGCCAGGAGTAATTCCTGAGTGCAGAGCCAGGAGTAACCCCTGTGCATCGCCGGGCGTGACCCAAAAAGAAAGAAAAGAAAGAAAACAATTTTTTACTAAGCAACAAGCCAAAAATCTACTTTCTCTGAGAACAAAGAGAAAGCACCCCGAATATTACTGTAGGCAAAAGCCGGATGGGGTATACACCTGCATGTGCCCCTGTGTGGGTTCAGTGCTGAAATGTCACTCCCCAGGACACCCGCAGTCAGATTCTAGGTTCTGTCCTTGCCTGCACTGATTTAAGACTACTAGAGTAATTCTGTTTTCTAGGGTCCCGGGAAAAGGAACATGATATATCACTATTATGTGGTGCACTTCCTAGGGTGCGCGGCATTCTGAAACATTCTCAAACGCTTTTCAAGGAAGTTAGAGTCAACAGCACAGGATCCTGCGTGTGCTCTCAAGAGGGTGTCATCAACGAACCTGGAAGCTTCTGAAGGGATCGCGGGGAAACTGGCGGGGAGCGGTGGCAGGTTTTAGCAGCCGGTGCTGCATTCTGGGGCTTCCGCCACCCCCAGCCCCGCACTGCAGCACCCCGAGCAGACAGCATCGAGCCTGGCTCTGTGACGCCGCTAGGTGGAGCGCGAGAGCCAGTGGCGCGCAGGCCACATCCTGGAGCTGATGGAAAGCAACTCGGGGGCTCAGTTTCTTAAATCTTATTTTATTATTTTATTATTATTTTTTCTTTTTTTGTGGGGGGTCACACCTGGCGATGCACAGGGGTTACTCCTGGCTCATGCACTCAGGAATTATTCCTGGAAGTGCTGGGGGGACTACATGGGATGCTGGGAGTCCAACCCGGGTCAGCCGGGTACAAGGCAATCTCCCTCTCCGCTGGACTATCCCTTCAGCCCTCAGAGTTTCTTAAACTTCGCTTTTCCCTCATTTGTGAAATATAAAGAGACAAAGCAAGGAAACAACAAATACTCGAAAGCAACAGAAGCTAAGGAGTGGTCGTCGTACTACAGTGCAGGGGGGGAAGGGGTTGCGGGAGGTCGCTGGGACCCTGGAGGCAGCGGGCACACGGGTGCAGGGTAGCGTAGGACGTTGCACGTGAGAAAGGCTGCCTTCGTTAAGATTATAAATCACAGAGCCTCCGACTTAAAAAAAAAAAAAGCATAAAACCCCTCTTCCCCTCACCTAAATTCAGGAAAGTGAGGAGCAGCAGAATATAGGAAACAC